TCATCCTCCTCCTCCTCCATCTCCTTCTGGATCAGCTGCAAAAGGTCCATGGAGCAGGGGAATCACCACCGCAGCCAGAGCAGATTCCGGCTTCCCTGCCTCTGAACGTCCTGCAATGCTGCAGCCCAGTGGGAGGGATGGGACCCTCCTCTTCTGAAGCAACCGCGGCACATGGTGATGAAGATCACCAGTGCCATGACCTCCAGCCAGATTGCTCACTCTTCAGGTGGGTGCCCTGGCTTAGGCACAGGCTGCCGGCCGGGCGGTGCATCCTGCAGCAGCCCCTGACATGGCCAAGGAGTGGTTTGGGCTCGGGTTGGGATTTAGGGTCGGACGAGGGTGGCAGGGGAGGAGGCAGAGAAGAAGGGGAGCCAAAGTAAGGCTGGAAGGGGTTGGAGGAGGATAAGGGTGAGGAGGGATGGAGAAGAAGGGCTGAAGGTGTCTCCCATCCCACTGCTCTCTTTGCCCCACGTTTTGCCCCCCATGAAGAGGGTGAAGGCTGTGGGAGGAGTTCCTTCTCCCCATACCAGCCCTTTTGCACCAAAATCCTCCGTCTCAGCCTTTTTGCCTCAAAAATCTGCTGGGTTGATAAGCCCAGATGGGTGGAGGGGAGAGATGTCCCCATGCCTGTGCAGGGACCTGCAGCTTCTTGGCCAGCCCCAGTGGAGCGGCCATGCCTCTGCGGGGAGACGGGGAGGTGAGGGACAGAGCGCATCCCACAAAGAGGGGGAGGTCCTCCCGCAGGGTGGGAGAGACCAAGGGAGAGGGTGCTGTTGGTGCTCAGAGGAAAAATGGGGGCCCGTGAGAGCTCAGTGGAAAACCAGTGTCCGGCTCATTTTGGCCAAGTGGGAAAGAGAGGGGATCACTGGATGATGGGGACTGTAGCCACAGGGCCAGGAAGACACACTGCATCCCAAAGGGCACAGCAAGCATCTCCCCACGCCCATGCACACCCCGTCTACCTCCGAGACCGACGAGCGGTCCCCCTGACTAGCAGTGGCCTTATGCACCATCCGCTGGGCAAAGAGTTTTTTCAAGCGCATGTAATCATCCAGGACCACCTTCAACAGAGAGCCCTGGGCGGAGGGGGGAGAGAGGATGAGTTACCCGAGGGACATGGTTTGGTTGGAGGGAGGCCAGCTTCATCCCAGCATTTTTTGGAGCAACATCACCCTCTGGTGCCACAGCCATGAACCTGGAAGCTGGATTGGTAGGAGAAGACCCCTCAATGGAGGATGCTCAGACTCATCACTTACTTTGATGGGTCCCTCCCGCATGATCTGCCCCAGCTTGGCAATGTTGTCGTACTCCTGGATGGCTGCCCGCAGGTAGCGGTCATCCTCGGGCTTAGCCGCAGAGGGCTCTCTCCCGAAGGTCCCCTGCGGGAGGAGAGAGCAGCTTTAGAGACAGCGCTGGTGTTGGGTGCAGGAAGGAGGTGTCCGGGTGGGGACCGTGTCTCACGTGGGTGCGGGCAGGGCTGTTCCAGAGGTCGGTAATTTCGCTCAGGTTCTCTGGCAGGTCGTCCTCATGCTCTGCCTGTGCTGCCAGCTCCATGTTCCTGCAGAAGGGGTCCAGCCACACCGGGTTGGCCCTGTTTAGGAGGGAGGAGTAGCCCTCAGTGCAAGCAGTGAGCTGCAGCATCTCTAACCCCATCCAGAGCCTGGATGCTGACAGCTGCAATGCCTCCTCCTGCCCTGTGCAGGCATGAATTCAGCTGCTGTGGATCTGCTTCCCCCAAGCTCGGCCAGGATGGGCAGTGACAGAGTCACAGGAAAAGGCACAAAGTTTTTTGGCTTTGAAAGCTCCCAAGGCAAGCACATGTCCCAGGGCCAGAGTCATGCCCCACATGGCACGCCTGGCCATATCCCTCCCCAGAGCGTTGCTGGCTGCAAAATGCAGGCACTCCTCTCTCGGGGCCAGCCTGTGATCCCACGAGGAGTCAAACTGGGGAAAGAAGGGGAGAACTCACCCATCGAAGGAGTACTTGTTGGTGTTTGGCATGTCCATGATGTCCATGAAGCCTCTATTCCCTGCAAAAGGCAGGTGGGGGTTACAGGGTGGTACGTCGGCGGACTGAGCAGCAAACCACAGGGCGGCACTTCTTTACTAGGGAGGGAAACTTGGCAGCCAAAAAGGCACCAGTGGTGTGAGAGACATGCTGGGATGCAGCTGATAATGTGGAGCCTGGATACCGAGAAAAGCCTCCCACCATCGCACCTCGCTGGGCAGGATCACTTCTGATTTACACCCCACTGACATCCCCCACGTCTCCCTGTCTGCCCCCTCCCTGCTCTTCATGCCCCCTGCTGTATCACGCAGCTGGAGAACCCCAAAAGTGCTCACCGGTGGAGCCAGCCACTATGGCTTTCAATTTCCTTTTGTGCCTGCGAAAGAAATACAGTGAATCAGGGAAGAAAATAAGGAAGATGCTCAAGAGGAGAGGAGGACCCAGATTTGCAATATCTGGAGGTGGTGATATCAGTATTAAAGCCATTATATTTTGGGGAAAAGGGACAATTTCTGAACCCAGGCTGAGCCTGACTGCAGTAGGTGCTGGGACACTGACGGCCTCTTTTTCTTGTT